ATTCCTGCTCCCACCCAGTGACTGCTACCACCTTCTGACCCCAGAGAGGGCCTGGACCAAGGCATGGGAAAGGTTAGGGTCAGGTGTGGGCATCCCACCACATCTCATACTAGGGCGTGGAGGTGGTCATCCCCAGCCTGGGCTGACAGCGCCATGAAGCAACTTGGCAAGTGACTGGGGGTGACTTGGCGGGAGAAGCTTTTTGCCCCCTCTCCCCTCATCAAGGTACCTAGCATGTCCCTGCATGGAGGTTGCAATAGTCTGTGGGTTGGGGTGATGGCAGGTAGGAAGATGATATGTCTGGCTCAGTTTCTGTGCTCCTGGCTGGGGCATGGTGTATTGGTCTGGAAGCTGGAGGGAAAGGAAAGCTGGTAGCCAGCAGCCACAAGCACACATACACATGTGTACAGAGTTTGGGGGCTCCTGGGTGACTGTGAGGGTCTGCATTCGCCCTATGAATATCCCTGTGTCCAGGGGAGCATGACATTAAACAGCAACTAAAAAGCACCATGCCAGGGCAAGAGAGATAATGCACAAGAAAACTTTATATTTTAATGTATTTAACGGCACTTTCTCCCACTTTTTGAACAAGGGACTCTGCATTTTCATTTTGCCCTGGCCCAGCCGATTCTGTGGCCAGTCCCCACGCTTCACTCCCCTTTGTGGAGTCTCCTCCACTGCTCCCCACTTCACAGGGAGGGGATGAGAGCTAAGAACATAAGCTTACATTTATTGAGCACCTACTATGGGCAGGCACCATTTTAAGCCCTTTTCTGTTTTAACTTATTTAATCCTTAGAACAATCCTATAAGGTAAGTATTGGTATTATGTCCATTTGTGGGTGAGGAAACTGAGGTGCTTTGAATGGAAAGAGCACCAAATTGAGAATCTAGAAGCCACAGTGTTCATTTTAATTCCATCATTGACCTGCTGTGTAACATGGAGCCAGCCTATAAACCAGGGGGAAAAAATCACCCACCTTGTAGTACACTAATTACATCAATGAGAGAATAGATGTGTGCCTCCCTCATAAACTGCATGAAAGGGACTCTCCTTGTCGTTATTTTAATTACCACCCAGTGAGTGCAGGTGGACTGCTGAGACCACCTGATAGAATCCGCTCATTTTGGAGTGGAGTAAACTGGCTCCAGCCTCTGCTAAATCACGCGCTCTAGGTTTCCATCCCGCACTGTGCCCTGGCTCCATCTTAGAGGGGAAATAAGGGTAATAGAATGAAAGCAGGAGTGAAGATGGTGTTTGCAAAAGAAATGCTGTGTGTCGATTATTGGTTGATCATGGTTCTATTTGTTTCAGGCAACAGGCCATTGGTGCTGAATTTTGGAAGTTGCACCTGACCTTCATTTATTTTCAAGTTTGACCAATTCAAGGGACTTATTGAAGATTTTAGTTCCGTAGCAGATTTTCTCATCATTTACATTGAAGAAGCACATGCATCAGGTAAAAAAAAAGATTTCCTGCCTCCACCTCTTCCCTCTCTCTCTCCCCCCTTTGCTCAAGGTTGCGGGTAGCGAGAAGAGGAGGAGAGAGAGAAAGAGCTGCTATTTGTTGAGGACCTACCATCTCCCAGTCCCTGCTAGGTTTACCCACCACTCGCTAACTCCACAGTCTGTGCTCTCAACTAGGCACACAGAGCAGAAAACCTGGAGTGACAGGTCTAGCTGGGAGAGCATCTAACATTCTGAATGGATAAATAGGGAAACCAAGGGAGAGGAGCTAATATGAGCACAGTCACAAGGAATTTAGACCTGAAAGGTCACAAGTGAAATGGCGGCTCTATAGCAACCTGTGAAATCCATTCCAAGACTCTCCAAGCTCAAAGGGACTTTGTGGTTCATCTCAGACAGTGGTTCCCAAGCGTCAGTGAGCACCAGAAGCACCTGGAGGGCTTGTTAAAGCAGACTTCCGGACCCCACCCCAGAGTTTGAGTTAGATCTGGGGTGGGGCCTGGGAATTTCCATTTCTAACCAGCTCCGGGTGACACTGAAGCTGCGGTTTGGGGACCACACTTTGAGGACCACTGCTCTGCGCCAGCTTCTACCTGGGGCTGGGATCCTTTCTTCAGCCCCTAATAGATGATGACTCATCTTCATTACCTCATGGGAAATCTTGTTCCTTTGCTGCACAGCTCTGTTTGTGAGAAAGTCCTTCCGTACGATGGGCAGACATGTCCCTTCCTGAAACTTCTACAGCTTGGTCTAAGCCCCTTGAACTTTATAAGATGGTCAGACACATCCCTGTCTCCCTGATTTTCATGGGGACTGAACACATGAGTTTGGCCCAAGTCTCAAACCCAGAGATTGGAGAAGGCAAGAAGGCTCATGTGGCTAAGTGGGACGAGTCCTTTACTCACCCGTCTCCCCACAAGATGAGAGGCTGTTTTGATCATCTGTCACACAGCACCTGGCACAGTACATGTCACGGAGTCAGTGCTCAGTAATAGTTGGGTGAATAAGTGAGCATTTAGGCCAGTATTAGCCTTGCTGGCTTATCCATTGTGTTGTAAGTGTAGACACTGCTATTAGTTTTCAGCAAAGCTGGTCCAGCAGCCCTTTCCCCGGTGTGGTCCTTAGATCCCTCATGTCTGATCCATCTGGGTTGCTTGTTGAAAATGCTGCGTATTTCAGGGCCCCACCCTAGGCCCACTGCATCTTAATTCATATGCACCCAGAGGTTGGAGAACTGCTTTCAACCTAACACTGTGTTCATTTAGCTGGCCATTTCTTTCCTCATGTAAGGCTTTGGGGCAACTTAAAATATTAGCATAGGGTAACAGGTACATGGAGATTCATTAAACTGTTCTCTCTACTTTTATGTATATTTGAACATTTCCAAAATAAAATTCAAAACAAACAGCATAGGTATCAGGAGAGCAAAGGCAAGCACAATGTGTCTCTTTGTTAAATACCCTTTGGGAGAGCAGCTGCCGTCAATTAAAGAAAGAGAACTTGGGCACCTACAGGTGTCTGTGATCTCCACAGTTGAGAAGAGGTGATGCTTTGATGTTCTCATAGCTGATGGCCAAAGCGCTGCCAAAGCTGATTCACCTGTGGGGTCAGCGCTGCTCAGTCTTTAAAGTGCACTTAAGTCACCTGGTGATCTTATAAAGATGCAGATTCTGGCTCAGTGGGGCTGCGGAGGGGCTTGAGACTTGGCATTTTTACTCAGCTCCCCAGGTGGTGCTGAGGCTTCTAGCCCAGGGACCACACTTGGAGTAGAGGATCCCGCTTTGATCTCTAAAAGTACACATTGCAACAAAAGGGGTTGGATCCTCCCAGAAATTGTTTCTGGTCCTGATACCTGTCTCCTCCCCCATTCTCCTGGAATCAGACTGAGCAGGTTTAACCCTTTCCTGGACCCAGGGCTGTCCACCTCAAGCCACTGAGAAATTTCTCCTGAAAGCTGGGTTTCCTAGGGGAAGGGTACTGAGCAGAGTGGACTCTGAAGCACGGAGCAGGTGGGGCCAGTTCTGCTGATGGACTTCAGCAACTTACATTACCCTGGGAGGCAACTATTAGTATAAATGCAAGCCACGTGGCTTCTGAAAGAACCTTCTACCCAAGTAGAAGGGCAAGGCCAGTAGCAGTTTATGGTTATTTTTTCAACCTGTGGGCCCATTAGCTAATGAGTACCCTCTCTTTAAGTAGGCAGATGGGCACCTCGCAAATGAGGCCAATTGAAAATCCCCTTCCATTTAAAGTGAAGCAGCTTAAAGGGGTTTGGTTGGGGGTGGGGGGGGCATCTCCAGAGCAAAGTAGTAGAATACCTGCAGTATAGAATGAAAACTGCAAAAAAGAAAGAAAAGAAAACCGGCTTCTTTCCCACCTGCCTGCTATTTGGGGGCAGTCAGGCAAAACAAACCAATATCTTTCAAGCATCTACTATGAACCAGGCAGAGTACTGGGAATTCTGTAATGTTCTCTCATGTAAGCCTCACAGCCATCTGCAACATAGGTTCTGTTAATCCCATTTAACAGATGGGAAAACTGAGAATTTAAAGAGCTCGCCCAATATCACACAGCTGGGTGTGTCAGGGAAGGCTTCCTGGAAGAGATGGTGTCACAGCAGTGGTTCTCAACTGAGGGTAATATTTGTCCCGCAGGGGATATTTGGTAATGTATGAGACATTTTTGGTTGTCACAGATTGAAAGCAGGGGGACGCTACTGACATCTAGCGAGTAGAGGCCAGAGATGATGCTCAATGCCTTACAACACACAGGACAGCCCCTGTATCAAAGAATTATCTAGCCCAAATTGTCAATAGTGCCAAAGTGGAGAAGTCCTTCATCTGCAACCCTCAGTTAAAAGTGTGTGTGGCGGGGGTGTGTTTGGCCAGCAGGAAGTAGGTGCCATGCCTGTGGGGCTGCTGTCCGGCCTTTCTCTTACAGATGGCTGGGCTTTTAAGAACAACGTGGACATCAAGAATCACCAGCATCTCCAGGACCGCCTGCGGGCAGCCCGCCTGCTGCTGGACAGGAGCCCCCAGTGCCCCGTGGTGGTGGACACAATGAAGAACCAGAGCAGTCAGCTCTACGCAGCGCTGCCTGAGAGGCTGTATGTGCTCCAGGACGGCAGGATCCTGTACAAGGTGGTGACCTGGGGCAGGGAGCCAGGGAGGGCGAGGACAAAGACAGGGCTTTGTATCAATGCTCAGAGAAGGAAACTGCCTTGCCTAAGGCCACACTGCACAGGCTCTGATTTCAATTCCAAATCCTCTGGGATGGGATAGGAGTGGCAGGGTTTGAAGCTGCTAATCCCTGAGACAGGCCTGAACGTGGAAGGGGGTGTAGAGGCCAGAAGAGAACCAACTCTGCAGTTAGGAACTGGAAATGCTGAAGCAGGAATTCGAGACAGGCATTACATCCAGGCTTCTTTTCTGGTGATCGTGTCACCACCCTTCAGTGCTTCCAGCCTGGCGAGGGTGAGGGGAGTAAGCACAGCCTCCAACCCTGTGGGCACTGGTAGCCTCCCCTGAGAGGATGGAAATTAAGTTTTATAGCTGCTGAAGGGATTCAAGCCTTGGCAAGCACATGAAGCCCAGCCATGTGGATGCTCCTCTGCCCTTTGTAATGGAAGTGCCCCCGATTCTCCATTCACAACCTTCGCTATCATGCCGCAGTGCAACTGTTTTCACTCACCATGTTCACGTGGTCAGGCAGGCCCTGCTCACACAGGTGAAACAAGCAACAACCTGCAGATGAATCCTCAGGGTGCTAAGGGTCACAGCACGAGGATTCAGGTCCTTGTTCCTTTCCTCTCTCCTGCGACATGGTAGTAAAGTGGCACGATTGAGGCAAGCTAGGTACCGAGTCCCTACCCTGGAAAGCGCTGTAAACACAAACACAAATTTAAAATGGCCCACATCTTACTTCAAGGTGCTCACAGTTGAGGTGATAAGGAAGACACAAATAGAACGTTAACTTGGCCCAAGTGCTGTGAGACTCCAGAACAGGGATCAGCAAAGCTTTTCTGTAAAGGGTCAGATAGGAAATAGTTTCAACTTTGTGGGCCAAATAATCCCTGTTGAAATGGTTCAGTTCTGCTGTTATAGCACAAAACCAGCACAGAAAATATGTAAATGAAAGGGTGTGAGACATCAGGACAGATTTAGCTCTCAGACTATAAATTTTCTGAATGTCGGGGAAAGGTAGGCCTTTCAGAGGAGATGACAACTGAAGCCAGCCACGTGAACATGGTGAGTGAAAACCATTGCAAATATAGGGGAGAGGGTGGGGAGAGGCACTGAGACACATTAGGGAAAGGTGTGAATGGAGAATCGGGGACACTTCTGTTACAAAGGGTTCAGTCTGGACCAAGGAGTTTGGCCTACATCTTAGGGCAAAAGAGAGACACTGAAGAGTTTTGAGCAGGGGAGAGGCACCATCAGGTCGGTACTTTAGAAAGATCACGGCCTATTGGGCGAAGAATGGACTGGAGAGAGCAGGGGCTGAGGACTGGGGGTGGGGGGAGGGGTGGCAGCTGCCCAAACAGAAGACGGAGAGGGCTGAACTGGGGCTGTGGGACTGGAGAGGCAGAGGTGGTTTGTTGTAGAGTGGGCAGAACTTGATGAGTGGTGGATAAGTAGATAAGGCTGGTCTGAAGGTCTGACTGTGGAAGAGAAGCTTATTTGTATAGACCCCTTTCGCCTTTTAAAGCTATTCACTTTACCTCCTCTGGTTTTCCTCCTGCTTCTCTGTCCAGTCTTCCCATTTAGTGTTGGTGCCACTCCACATGGGTGATCTCAACCACCTCATGGGTGCCTGCCTTGACTACACCATCCTGACGACTCCCACATGTATATCACCAGCCCAGATTTCTCAGTTAAGCTCCAGACCTACATATTCCTGCAAGGTGGAAATCTGGAAATGCTGACTCATTTTTCTTGCAGGGTAAACCTGGCCCTTGGAACTACCATCCAGAAGAAGTTCGTGCTGTTCTGGAAAAGCTCCACAGTTAATCTGGACAGATCCCCCAGTTCTAGGTGCTCAACAAGAGGTCTTCTCAAGGCTTTGCTTGCCCCCCCATCCCAGCTGACATTTACCTCTTGACCTGTGTCCCCAGCTGAATCACTAGCCCAGATTTTTCTTATCCAGGCCAACAACTGTTACAATGAGAAAATGAAGCTGCAAGTGAGCTGAGTGTTAAAGAAGGTACAACTCCACACTGCCCCCACCGTGGAGACCTTGTTCATTGCACAACGTCTCATCGTGAGAGCAGGCACACTCCCTGGCCTTCCTTCTGAACATCCAGCCACTCCACTATGGCATTCCTTAAATGAAGTAACTTCATTTTACCAAATTTGCCATTTATGGAATTGATAATTTAATAACTAAATTGGTTTTTAGAACTAAGCATGGGGATAACTCCAGGTGTTTAGAGAGCGATGAGGAATTTAAAGAGAAAGGAGTAGGAATGGGAGCAGACAGTACAAACGGTAACCCTTCCCTTGCCAAAAGATTTAAACCAGAAAGTGGTGGGGGTGATGAGAGGTGAGTTTCCCTGGTAATATGTCTTCGATTCTACTGTAGAAGAGGCGGGTACTCACTTTACCATCTTTGAATGTATTTCATAGAAGTCTGGCTCTCCATACCCGGGAATATTCTACTATCTTCACTTACCAAGAGCCACTTGTGGGGAGGACTGGCTTCCTAAAAACATTATAACCTTGACCAAACTAGACCATAGGCACTACAGAGCCGTCATTCAGTTATGCAGAAGCTCATATCTGAAATTCTGCTTCTCTGATTTCTTCACGAGTCTCCTAATGGTCATTTGTGTTAGATTACATCAGACTAATGGATAACCATTGATATTGATCTGTTTTAACTCTGCCTCTTTTCATATTTGTTTATGATGGCCACAGCCTAAAGTACACACAGCTGTGACTTGATTTGAAAGAAAATGTTTTAAGATGCAGCAAGCTAATACAGAATGATTAAAAGATATCAGGCTATTTTAGATGGCTTCAGTGTGATATTTACACTGTCTTTTCTAATGTGTGTCAGCTTGTTCTAGCTTTTATTATAGACCAATGTAATCTGATCAGCAAAAATAACATATGTTGGAAGGCCCTCCTTTGGAGGGAAGAACACTCAGTGTCTATGTGTTACCTGTCTAACATGGTTTTGTCTTGTGTACTCCTTGCCAGAGAATGTCCATATGGAAGTCATATTACGTTCACAACATGACATAATAGAATGGACTTGGGAAGCATTTTTTCTAACATGAAAACACATTCTCCTTGGCTCTGCCTTAGTTGCTACATGTTATTATTAATGCCGTTATTTTACTTTTTAAAAAATAGTTGTTAATCATCTATCAGGCACAGGCACTTGCAGATATGTAGTCTTATTTAATCTCTGTTTATTGCAACGAGGAGATTATTAGCCCCGTTTTACAGATGAGGAAACCAAGGATCAGAGTTAAGTAACTTGTGGAAGGTCTCAGAACCAGTAAGTAACAAGCTGAGATTCAAACCCCATCTCTAACTTCCAACCAGAGTCCTAGCTGTGCTCCCTACTGGCTGTGTGACTTTGGTTAAGCTGCTTTTGTATCTTGAACTATTACAAAACAAGGTATCAGTAGGGCTTACCCCACAGAGGATTCATAAATAAAGCACTCAGAACTGTGCCTGACTTGGAGAAAATGCCATCGAAGTGTTGGCTCTTATGGTTACCATCACTATTGTTCCACAACTGCCTCCTTGGGCCCCCTTCAATTCACGTCTATAAGTGCATAGAAATATCCCGGTTTTAAACAAATAATAGTAGCTGGAACTGAGGAGTTTTCAGAAAGCTAAAATAGATCCCAAACATTCCAATTCAATTCTCTTCAATGTAATGCTTCAGACGTTAATTGAGCACTGATTCTTTTCTGGGTGCTGAGTGATGATGCAAAGATGACAAAGTCCAGCTTTGGTCCTCCAGCAGCTTAACCTCCTAGGGCAGGGGGGATGGGGGTGGACATGCACTGCAATAACCATAATTCAAGGCGGACTATGATGGGTTAGAGTGAAGACTAAAGCTCAGAGAGCACAGAGGAGAGAGCAGCCCCTCTGAGCTGGGTGCATCTAGGAAAGCTTTGTGGGGGTGGGAGCCTCTGGGCTTGGCCTTCAAGGATCCCTAGGACTTCTGGGATGGGAGCCTGAAGAGAATGGGAAGGAAGAAGAGCATTCAAGTGGGCTAAACAGCATATGGGCAAAGGTGGGGAAAAACCTGCCCAGAAGACTACAAGAGGTTTGAATTCAGTTCTAATGCATGATCAAGAAAGGGCTTTTCTATTTGAAGGTGACCTCTCTGGGTCTGGATAACAAGAATGATCTTGTTATCCAGAGGAAGTAAAAGAAGCTTGTTAAAATGTCTTGTCCCACTCTGAGTACAGTTTGCATATTCAGAACTTCAACTGATTTGAAGAATATTCTTCAAAATACCATGCCGGTCTGCTTTCAGTGGGAGGGTTTACGTTTTTAGTTCGCTTGTTCTCTAAGGGTGATGACCTTTGTGGTACCTGGCTTTATGTGGGATTCTGAGCCTACACCCCATTCTAGCTGATGCAAGACGTTGCCTTATGTGCCTGGCAGGAGGCCCAGGAAACTCAGGCTCTGACTCTCAGAAATTGGCAGATGCCCTCGGAGTGGCCCAGTGACTTTAATGCTTGTTCAACTCCCCAGAGTCAGGCTCTCAATTGGTTCCTGGCCACAGAAAACTTTATTTCTGCTAAGTTCAGCCATTAACTTCAAAAGGTGTATTAAAATATTTTACCCAGCATTGTTAGATGTTCGATTCCAGGATATTCAATTGGCCAGATAGATTACATCATTGAAAGTCTCAAGTATGCAGTGTTTTGAAGACGGGCACATGGATCCTGTATTCCCTGAAGTCTTACACGCTTCTAACGACCAGCTGTTGTCCTTAAGCCTGAAGGATATCTGGCTGGGTTTCAGATTCTTATGTTTCAGTCTCTACCTCAGAGATTTGTGGACATTGTTCCGCTGTTGTCTAGCTGTCATGAGAGGAAAAGTCTGAGGCCAGCCTAATTTATTTCCCCTGGCACTTACTTGCTTTTATTCTGCCTGGAAACTTGTCAGATTCTTTCTTCATATTTGAAGTTCAGTAACTTCACCAAGACGTAGTCTAGTGTTGGTTGCTCTTTGTCACAATTTACTGCTGTGGTCTGAATGTTTGTGTCCCCTCAGAATTCATATGCTAAATCTTAAAGCCCAGTGTGATAGTGTCAGGAGGTGGGGCCTTTGGGAGGTGATTAGGTCATGAGGGTGGAGTCTTCATGAATAGGATTAGAGCTGGCTTGCCCTCTTCCACCATCTGAGGATACAAGAAGTCTGTAACCCTGTAAAAGGGCCCTCACCTGACCTTGCTGACACCCTGATCTCAGATTTCCAGCCGTCAGAAATGTAGGAAATGTTTCTGTCATCTGTAGGCCACCCAGTCTATGTTATTTTTGTTACAGTAGACCTAAAGGACTAAGGTAAATACAATATCCTCTTTTGATCTTAAGATTTCTTTCTTTCTTTTTTTTTTTTTTAATTTCAAGGACATTTTTTGTTGCTGTTGCTTTTGTTCTATTATCTCACTCACGGACTATAACTACGGGTATGTTGTATCCTTTTTTCTTCCATAACTATTTTTTTTTTTTTTTTTTTTTTTGCGGTATGCGGGCCTCTCACTGCTGTGGCCTCTCCCGTTGCGGAGCACAGGCTCTGGACGCGCAGGCTCAGCGGCCATGGCTCACGGGCCCAGCCGCTCCGCGGCATATGGGATCTTCCCGGACCGGGGCACGAGCCCGTGTCCCCTGCATCGGCAGGCAGACTCTCAACCACTGCGCCACCAGGGAAGCCCTCTTCCATAACTATTATCTTCTCCATAACTTTTAAAATCTTTGTTCTTTTCGATTCCATGTTGTGATTTTTCTCAGAATTTTTCCTCTGATCCCAATTCTTCTTAAGTTGGGTTTGTTATTGTTCCAGATACGGCTT